GAGGGGTTTAGTCACATGATAACTCGATGATGAGCACGTGAAGAGAGAGACAACGTGGGGTGGGGTGGGGTGGGGCGGGGCTGGGCTGGGCTTTGCCTTAAATGCTTTTCAACACTTCTCACCATCAAAATAATATAAGTTTCTTGTTTCACCTCACTTTACGTCCATTAATTTATGTATATGAAAAATAAAGATGATAACATTACTATTAAATTTTAGATATTTTTAGCTAATGCGAACAGTATAGTAATGAAAAGTGTTATAAAAGAGTATGTAGCCTTTTACAGAGGATACTGTTGGAGTGTGTGGGAGAGACGTGTAGGCGGCACCCCACAGTGAAGTAAAAAAAAAAAGTTTGCAGAGCTTTTGCCTTTTTAATGCTAAGGAATTTAATGCAAAAGAAGCAAGAAGATACTTCATTGAATATTCTACTACTACAAAATTGGATCTTTATTACTTTCTCTTCTTTTTGTTACTCTTATCTTCAAATTTTATACAAATATTAGAGTGTGTTTCGATTGGCTTAAAAGTTAGTCAGATTTATTTTTTTAAGTCAGTTTTTAACTTTTGAAAATATTTGATAAATATAAAAAGTAACTTAAAATAAGTTAAAAATCAAAAATAATTTTTTTCTTATTTTTTATTTTTTAATTTAAAAGTCATTTGAATTTGACCTTTTGTTTTGAATTTAAAAGCTAAAATACTTTTTTTAAATCAAGTTATGATGTGACTTCAAGCAAGTTAAAGTGGTTATATGACTTCACACCCCAGCAAAATTTGTATTATGGCTAAAATATTCTATTTCTAAAGAATGCAGGACCTAAAACAAATATATTAATGTGAAAAAATATATATGATCAATTGATTGGTATGCTCATGTACATTTCAATATAACGATTTTAAATTTATATCAGATTCATATAAAGTCGAAATCAAATATATAGATCGATAGATTCTCCCTTATATCGTATTTTTATAGGATATTTTATTTGAACATTACTATTTAACGTATTCATTTTTTAAATTTTTTTCACAAATTTGTCCACTTTGAAACATTTTCTAATAAATGCGGAGTTTGAAATAGGTTTGAACTTAAAACAAAAATTAATGAACTTGAATCATATGAAATTTTAAATACTTTGTCAAGTCCCATAAAGTTTTCTTCGAGGTATAAATTATAATTTTTACTCTTTATAAATATAATTTAGATGACGATTTCAAAATCGAATACGTATGAACTTTTTTCAATTGCCCAAACATTCGTTGAGAATCATCATTTTTATGGGGCTTGAGATAAGTCTGTGAGCCCATACCCTATCTATGACACAAATAGCAAATCCATCCGAAGTCCCAACTAACTATGTTTTTGATATGGATAAGTCTGAAGTTGGTATTAGAAATAGAAATATATATACACTCATCGGTAAATTATGAGACACGTGAATTTATAATTTCCTTGTAGAAGTAGGTATTTACATATACTTTTTTGTAAAGTTAAATGTTGTATTTGATTGAATATTAAGTTATTTATCTGATCAATTTTACTTAATACACTTACTTTAATAGTATACTATATTTTATAAATTCTGGATTCCTCAATTTTTGCTTTTAGTCCTCTCATTTCATTAGGCTGATAATTGCAAAATTAGTATATGCAATTCCTTGTAATTATTTTATTAAGTAGAAACAAATTGGCATAGTTCATGTGATATGAATGATAGTATGTGAAGAAGCATGCTCAAAGAAATTCATAGTCTTTGAAGTTTGATCTAACATAATCGAAAACTTATATACACAACTGAAACTAATTATATGAGACTCTAGTTGTTTTGTTTCACTAATTATTGAATTCAAATTTTACATTTTTCGAGTCCACTAATACAAAAATTAGTGCTATGATTGCAAATGGACCGACACTAATTGGCTTCTTCATCCCAAAGGAAAATAGAGTCCAACTCTAAAAGTTGAACGTGTGGTTCATATTTATGAAAAGGTCTCATCATGCTATGTCACAACTTCAAAATTATGATGGATTCATGCACCTATTTTAGGTTGTATTTGTTAGGGAGGAAAATTCTTTTTAATTTTTTTTTATATATAGTTTTTTTAAAATGAAGAAAATAACCATTTTAATGGAAGTAGAAAATGTAAATTCATAAATGAATTTTCAAGTCTATTGTCTTCTCTATATCGATTGAAATCTTACTCCTCAACCTGTAATGAGTCATAGTATTTAGGAAAAATAGTCTGAAAAATACTTCAACTTTGATCGAAATTATTGTTACGATACCAAACTTTATGGAGGACCTTTTACCCCCTGCACTTTTTAATAGTGTATTTTAAAGTATATATGTGCCCACGTGGACACATTACTATTTAAAACGATGCAATATTTATGATGTCCACGCGGGCACATATATACCTTTAAAATACACTATTAAATAGTGCAGGGGTAAAAGGTCCTCCATAAAGTTCTGTATCGTAACAACAATTTCGATCAAAGTTCGAATATATTTCAAACTTTTTTTTCTAATATTTAGCTTGATTACATATACATGCTTTTAAAGTATATATTTTCTTACTTAATTATCATACCATAAAAACTAAGATAAAACCTTCACTTATCTTTCAAGAAAATATTTTCATTTCGTATCAAACACACCTAGAGTAAAATAGGGAAATATAAAAGTTATTCTGAAAGAGACAACTATATACTTTATTTTTTCAACCAATCGACATATCACTTATTCTTATTTAACGTGAAATTATTATCCACCTAGTGGACCATAAATAATTCATAGTGTGTGAAGTGGAATACTACCTCCACATAGGAAAACTTTTAAAATTCTTTATTTTATTTTTAAAATTTGCCTAGTGCATCATCTTTATAATTATATCACCCACAACAAGAAAAGTCACAATCTAAAAGTCAGAAAGGACATAAATTAGAAAGTGAATTCATTAATTTAACACCTTTAAAAGATTTCAACATGGTCTCGTCTTCTTCTCTTCATTTTTTTCTAAGCCAAATTTGTTAGTAGTTTTTCCTATTTTTTATACTATATACTTTGAATTGATCTTATTGAACCGTGCACGGAAGATTCGTTGGTTCTCATTTGACAAATTTTTCGTATTTTAAGCTAGCGTTTGGTCATAAATTTCCAAATATTTTTGACAAATATTATTTGGATGAGAATTTCATCATGTGTTTGGCCATAATATTTAAGAAATATATTTCACTTTTTTAATAAATGCAGAATGTTTACTTTTAATTAATATGATATCTTCAAGGAAAATAACATATGTACATATTCTTTTCTTTTTTTAGTTACTTATTACTAGTAATAACTAGTAATGTACTCTTCATTTTAAATTAATATAAATAATTATCATGTATTCGAAACCATTTTTTCTCTAGTTTCTCCAAATCCATAGCATAATGTACTGCTAAGATCTACTATGATATTATTAAAGAAGCTTATAATCTAATATTGGTCTTATATATACATTATTACGATAAGGGTTATTTTAATTTATTGTCACTTTTTTTATTTACAATCTACTTTACATTTAAATATAATAAATTATATGGCTAAATATAACATAAATAAAAAATATCATTTTTTTAATAATCGTAAATTAAACGACTAATGAAACACGATACGAAACGCAGTGAATAATAAGTACGTGTCTTTACCTTTCTTCACTTACCTATACGATTTTTGCATGTTGGCAAGATTTGAATTCATAACACGCATTTAACCTCACATAAAAAACAATCGTTTGGTCAACTTTGTCATTTGTAATTTATTTAAAAAATATGTGTTTCTTTACTCTTTATCATCTATGTACACGAGTTGTTTGTGATAAAATTTGAATTCATAACACATATTGCACGAAAAATAAATATCTTATCAACTTTGTCATTTAAAACAAAAAACAAGTGAATTCCTTTTTTAATTCTGTTATTTTTCAAAAAAAAAAAAAACAACTAAAAATCATCGACTAACAGCATTAATTTTGTTTTTCAAATTTTGCGAAAAATGAAATACTGCTTACTTCGGATTAAAATTGGAAGTTATTTTGAAAAATATATTGTAGCACTTTCTGGAAACAAGGCTAACTTGGCAGCAATCAAACAAACCCCATGGAAATACTAATCTCAAAACTTCAAATTCTTATAATGACTTCTAAAATATTTCATATTTCTTGAAATATTCTAATCATCACATTAATAAATTATTTATATTTTTCTTCTAAGAAAATACTGTCATTATAGCTACAACAAACTCTTAAATATATATAATTTCTAAAGATTCATATTTCACTAAATTGTCTTAAATATATATAATCTATAAAAAAAATTCACCAAATTATTTTAGATATTTTGTAATTTAAAAAATAATTAATTTGTAATATCAGTGAGACATGCATTTATATAAAGGTCTTTCGAAAATATATTATCTTATCAAAATTGGTAATTTTTTCCCAGGCCCTAGTAAGATCGGAATTTTTTTTTTATCTTATAGAGTTTACTAATTTAGAGGGATTCTACTGTTACATGCAAATTCATGGTATTAGTGATGCAAACTATTTTAATGCATGCATTAGCATGATCAAACACACAATTGTCCCTTAAGATCTTTTTCACCATATTTAAGATATTTTTGTAAGTAACTATTTTTTCATAAATTATACTCCTAATATATGCTATTTTTTCTATACAATAAAATAGTTTATAAAAAATAATCTCAGTATAACTAAAATATTATTTTCACACTATTTTTATACACTTTGTCAAACAACGAAGAAGTGTCAAAGTTGGTAATTTTGTATGTTTGATGGGTGCGTTTGGTAATAAGAAGATAGTATAGTTGAAATGTGAACAACATTTTTCCACATTTGGAAAAACGTGCAACTTGCGTGTATCTTTTTTTTTTTTTTTCTTTGGTGTATCCAACTTGTCTTTATTATATTTAGACACAAAATAAAATAAAAGTGTAGGTGAGGTGAAGGCTTGGCCACTAGCAATTAGTATAAAGACATGAATATATGCTGACAAAGTTATGAGCTGGACCTGATTCGGAGCTATTTTCAAGAATCAAGAACGGTAACAGAGCCCCTCTTCTTCTCTTTCTTTTCTCTAAATTTCATGTAAATAATCAATGAATTTGTTCTCTGCTTTATCTTATCCTTTCTTCTTATGCATAACCATTCAACTAATGAGCTTTTAACTTGGATTTTTGATTGTTGGGGGTGAATATGGGGTTCTTTCTCACATGGGTATTTGGTAGTTTTCTTGATTTTTGTTGTTGTTTGATGGGTTTGGTCAACTATGCTGGTTTAAGGGGGTTAAAGCTCTTGTTTGTTTTTTCTTTTTCTGTATTGTTCTGCAAGTTTTGGGTTCTGTGTTGTTTCAGCAAATTGTGGGGTATGTAATGGATAAAATTGTGGGGGTTTTAGCACATTATGGTCTTGTTGTAGCCAGTTGACAGATTTCCAGTTTGAAGGGGTCAACCATGATCTTCATATTTGATTCAGTTGAGTCTTGACTTAGTCAATTAGATAGAAAAAAGTTGTTTGGAATAACAAAAGGGAATGTAACTGAATGTTCTGCAAGTTTTGGGTTCTGTGTTATTTCAACAAATATCTTGATATTGTGTAAGATGTGGTGTATGGAATGGATAACTATTATGTTTTTTTTTAGCATATTATGTATGATCTTGTTGTAGCTAGTTGACAGATATCCAGTCTGAAGGGGTCAATGTGTATCATAATCCCCATATTTGATTCATTGAGATGAGTCTTGACTAAGTCAATTATGTAGATAGAAAAAGATGTTTGAAGGAACAGAACGGAATGTAACTGAGGCATGATGTTATAGCAGGTGTTCCCCTTTTGCAAAATGTTTTTTCCCTTCAAAGTAACGGTTGTTAATAAATTATAGACTGGACCAACTGAAATTGGTTTGTTCTTATGCTTGCCTAGTTGTTTGTTATAGCATTCCAGCCGTCAGTCATGTCATTTGAGCTCTTATGGCACTATGTATTGTGGTTTTCTGGCCATGGTGGTTTTAGCACAGGGTTCAAACCATTTCATGAAATGATCTATCCTTTGTATTTTCCTTGAAGTTGTTTCAGGATCTTGAGTTTGACTTGGCAACAACCGTATTTTAATTCCTAAATGCTTTGTTGTTTCCACGTTAGAGGAATCTTTTAGATTTTCTTAAGGGATGGAAAAATTTGTAGTTGCTATACCTGAAATTCTAATGTGGTTCTTGAACATAAGTATTAATGGCATGAATTTTGCCTGCTTAGAGTTGCTGTCCTTTTCTCCATCTGTTTCCCAAGACACTATAGGTATAGGAACTCTGAAGGTCTCTTTTCCTTTTGCCGGTGAAAGTTTATGATAGTTAGGGAGACTGAGCTGAATGTGATGGTGTTGTTTATGCATGTTTCTTGAATTTGGAACTTTGTTCTTTATTTCTTCCAATAGGACTCGCATAGTTGGCCAAGCATTACCTACTCAGTGTGTTAGACTTTCTGTGTCTTTTCTTATGTTTAGCTTCTTGAGAATGTAAACAGGAATCTTACATTTGATTGATCAATATTATTATCTTTCCTAAGACTTATCCGCTAGTTAGCTAAGAAGGTAGAATGTTGATAGAGCTTGTTTGTGCAATTTCGTAAACATGAGAAAGGGATACAAATGCTGAAGGAATTTGGTTTCTTTGTTGGTAGAGGAGGTGGTTGTAAGTGATCTTATGATGTGGCTCCACTAAACTTAATGGCTTAAAACAAACTTTGTAGTCTGCTGCTTTACTTCTTCTTTTACAAGTCTTATGTTACTTTTGCTCATCTTCTTAATCATGGTGCATTTTATAGAATTCTTTAGGTGTATAACATGTATAAATTGTGAGATTATACCCCTTTTCCTTTTTCGTTTTTATCGTCTGCACAGTTTCAACTTTCAAGTTTGGTGGTTTATGTGGGAACCAAGTGCTCCTTTTTGTCTCAAAGTGATCTATCTCTATCTTGACAACCCCTATCTCTATCTTTTACAACTCATGTTTCATCTAAAGCGTTTCTTGAAGAGAGGTTAACAAACACTGACATTGTCCCCAAAATAGCAAGCAATCAAAAGATTGAATATGAAGTATGGGGCTCTTCAAGCCTTTAATATGTTAAATCATGTCTTCCATGTGGTAAACTGATGAGACCGACTTTTAAAGCTGAATATAGTGCATATTTTTCCTGAAGTGTTCAGTCTCATGATGTTTTGCTTTAGAACAGAGAAAGTCTTAAAGTAATGGCGTGCGAATTGGTAGAATTTGAAGAGGGAACCAATAAGCATTATCTGAATTTGAAATCAAATAATGTTGATGTTGCATTAGTTGTTGATGTTTCATTGCCTGTTTGTCCATCAAGATGTTTATTGCATTTTACCGATGTTATTATTCCTGTTTACTATAGTTTTTCTTTGTATGTCATGTCTTATTGATCTATATTTTCATTCAGTGTTGTAATTTTACAAGACAAGGAGAATCATTTTATGGATAAGAAAGAATCTGGCAAGGAAATTTCTGAAGAAGTGACTCGGGAGTCACTAATCGCCATATCATACAGTGAACCAGAGATAGATCCTTCTATTGAATCTGTACCTGAAAATTCCAACTATGAGAATGTGGTGAAATCTCTTAACGACATCAGAGATGATAAATGCAGGTCGGAGTTGATCTCAATATCCTATGCAGAGTCACCAGACACTGAAGTTCAACCTGGAGAGTTCAAGGGCTAACTAATAATTAACTGGTTTTATAGGCCAACTCCATGTTAAAACTCTTTTTTGCTTTTGCTACATGTTGTTTACTCATAAAGAACTAGACATTGTTTGAACTTGTAATGTTTTCATGTGTTGCACCTTATAAAGTCTGTTGTTGTAATCATTGGGGTAGGCACTCTTTGGCAAAAAAGTTGTTGCTTATATGTGTAAATAATTGTTGTGAAAAAAAAGAAGAAGCTCCTATGTCTATATTCAATAGTAGGTTATAGGTTGGCATTGCTTAAAAATAACACAAAGTAAATATCAATTTGTGATATAAATATTTTAAATCACTACAATCTCAAATTCAAACTTGCTTAAAGTTGAATTCTGATAATATATAGATATAGCTTGCGCAAAATAAAATTCAAGGGTCCTTTTTATATGGTCTTTCTTTGGAGTTGCAAAGAGCTACTCCCCCGGTCTCTAATTACTTGTTCACTTTTCCTTTTTTAGTTGTCTCTAATTACTTGTCCATTTTGACAAATAAAAAAAGGACAATTTTTTTTACCTATTATACTCTCAATTAATTATTTTGAAAAAGGTAGAACTTCTTGAAAACCTTAAATTTTTAAGTTACCCACTTCATAATTAATAGGGGTAAATTGGTAAATTCACTATGTCAATAATTATTTTTCTTAATAGGTGTGCTAATTCAAAAATGGACAAGTAATTATGAACAGACGGATAGTAAAAAGGTAGTCTCGCGCATATAAAAATAGGGCTGGTAAGGCAAAATGGGTCGATTTACTATTTTCGAGTGTACCAGAAATGTATCAAGATTCGTTCAGCATTAAACTCTTGTAACAACCACTTTATTTCTCTTTAATACTAGAGTTAATGGCTCATTAAGTCCTCATTGAAGAGCTGCAAATTTATAGTCTAAAAAAACTAGCCTTCTTGTTAAATTATATAGATTCAAAAAAAATATTTTTTTTTTTCTTCTCCAAAGTTTTTCCTCTCAAACTTATCTAACCGTCATCTGTGCTCCACAACTACTAGTGTCATCACTTTGCAAAGAGGTGGAATTAATCAAGACTGAACACTAGCCCCATTTTGTAGACGGGTTGGGACCCTACTTTACCGTTCAATACCTGTGGACTGTGGTAGGATAATTGAGATTCTTCCGTCTGTAATTAGATATTTTAGAGATAAACTCCTATGGATGTGTCGTCCTCCCAAAATAGACCCTGCAATGATAAATAGATTACAAGAATTATTTAAAAAATAAGGAGATATGCATGGTATCCAAATCACGAAGAAGGTTAGTGTTATGAGATTAAACCTAAAAAGATCTCACTGAAATTATCCAAAAAAAACTTACTTGTTATTTTGGAATTTGTATTGTTTATCACACTAGAGACATTTATTGGATTTTACTGACCCTATGAGCTTCCTTTGGCCCATTACTGCTGATTGGGCCTCAGGATTCTCAAAGGGGACGAAGTGCACAAATAGCAATTTTAGGACCCTACTTAAGACCTAGTCAATTTTATTAACTTTTGCAAATTAAGCAACTTTAAAATTAACTTGGAACTTTATGAATGATAGAGTCTATTTGGATAAATTTGTAATATTATGAATCTTATGATATTTTAGACTTCGAACACATGTATATGGACGTTAGATACATTCATATACATGAATCTTGAATACATGAGGTTAAAATTAGGTGCAATTTGTTTTAGATACACTTTATTCAAGTGAATTTACATGTATCTGACTTTCTTACTTACCTCTCTCCCTATTTTAGTGTATCTGATAGCAAAAATACATATACCTAGACATATTTTACTTGAAGTTATTAATCAATAAAACAATATATATTATTTCAAACTACAAAAAAATTAATAAATATAGTAGAAATATTTGCATAGCAAAGTAGTTTTTCCATATTTAGGCGTAATCAACACTAGGGATGGGCTATGTGGTTTCGCCATTTTCAAGAATCATCTAATAAACGACTCATTCTGCAATATATATATATCATGAAAATGCTAAAGAAAGCTCACGTTTGGAGGCATTTCATTGGTGGATCTATAGTATTCCAGCAAATATAAAAAAGACATGTTAAAAAGTGAGATTTGAACTCGGGTTCAACAACACAAAAAGAGCCTTAAGCACCCACCCAAGAGATCATATGGTCGTTGAGTGTGATATGTTAATTTTATACAAATGCCTCTTAATTTCTACACACACACATATATACTAGATAGGTATGGCCTGTGCTCAACACAGGCCCAACATTTATATTTTGCCGTGTTTTCAATAATCACTCTGGCTTAGTTTCTCTAATTTTCTGTTATTATCTTCATTATACAGCTTTTCAGACAACTTATAAGCTTCATTTTAGAATAAAACTAAAAGAAAATTATGGGCAATTATATAAGCACTGTTCATCAGAGAATTAATTCCACTGGTATATAGTTTACTACTTACTGAAGCAACAAAAAATTGAAAAATAGAACTGAAGAACTTACACTTGAAGCAAGAATATCACAAGCGACTCCAACTATTATGTCACGCAATATTTCCTATACAACAAAACAGAAGAACAGAACAAATAGAAAGGTGTACATGACACATCAATTTATAAGTAATTGAGAGTTGGGGAGGGGAAGTTTTGAAAATACAGTGAGTCTGAAGTTTTTGAGTTCAAATAACTCATATGAATCCTAAGGTTATATACAATGTCATATTTTGATATTTCACTATTTTAGCTAGAAAACAAGAATAGAGAATGGGGATCAATAAGATTGAGAAGATTCAATCCACATTCTCTTTGGTAAAAGGCACTTACATATGTTTACACTGGCAGAATTTTGATTTGACATATTAGAATTGGCATGCCTAATGCAGAGTCCCTTTCCTCTTCATATTCAAGTTATGAGGCAACTGGTACATGCCAGTATCCTTTTTCCGATTCCTAGAGACATAAGAAACACAATTACTTTTAAAGGTTTTGTTAAATAATAACACGTACAACATTGTTTTTATATGTGCTCAATTTCAAGTACATATTTTGTGTTTGAAGACAGATAAGAAGAGCTCATCTATATAGCAGAAATTTTGATTTCATAAGCATTTATTTATAATATAGTAGAGCAGATCAATTAGGAGGTACTGCTGACCTGAATCATAATAGAACATGGAGGTGGCATGTGAAACACTGGACTTGTTCCAGAGAAATGGAAATGCACCTTCCGCCAAGAACATGTGGCATGTGAAACATTGGTCCTAATATTTGTATATTGGTTTCATGAGCATATTATTTATATGAGTAATATACATTTATTTTTCCTATTCTAGCACTCATATATGCACTTGAATCCTTTCTTTTCAATCATTAATTTATGTGATGAACAATCCGACCCCTAAATCTGCACCCGAATCGAATACTGGCATGAATATGGGTGTAAAATCCGAACAACATAAGTGTCTAATAGTAAAAGTAGATAAATGTAGTCATTTCAATGTTGATTGAACACATTTATTGCAATTTAGAAATCACATTTATGATTTATTCATAGAAATGCAAATTTACTTTCCCTTCCACGACTTTGACATTACTGTTGAAGTAGTATGTGACATCTTGATCAATTGAATCTTTGTTTCAAAATCAACTAATAAAAGGTTCCCAAAAAAATGAATTGAATCTTTAAATCCAAGCATACTCACATTTACACAGGGTTGAGACCCACAAACAAAAATGGAACAAGAAATCATAAAAAGGCCTATGCATCAAGTGTGTATATATATGCACACACATATGTAAAAAGAGTTGTAGGGTATTATAGGTAAGCAACCCACTTTAGCAAACAAATTGATAGTAAACATGAATACCCAGTTTAAGCACAAAAGAGACGAACAGATTTAAGGAAGATGGATACCAACTTGAGCTTGAAAAAGAATTGGGTAAAAAGTGTAAAAGAATCATATACTTAATACGGTGATGCCTGACAAGATGAAGAGAATTGAGAGTGTTGTATGAAATTAAGGAAATATTGTGTCTGTTTGGAATGTTAAAGAACGTGATATGTCGGCATGAAATTATCAAAACAACCTTGGTCGTCCTCTTCCTCACATTCTGCATCTCCAAATAACGGAGAGTAGAAGCGAATCCAAAATTTAAATTTAACGGAGTCAACATTTAGGTTCTTGCAACTAATTGCATCTCTTTTGAAATTAGGCGATCAAAATTCAATAACTTTTTGAAATTTTAGTGACTTTTCACATATAATCTATACTTGAATCAGCTTGAACCCATTGACATGTATGCTCCATATGCCATCGATGCAGAGGGTATATATATACACATTCTGAGACAAGGTTAATGGGTGCTCGAGTACCTGAAGGACACTACGTGGGTCCGCCCCTGCCAATACACATCAACTCTCTGCATAAATCACATGCCACTATCAAAATAGGATTACCATTCATTATTTTGAGCTTCCGTGTCTAATTTTAACTGATATGAGATATACGTGTGACACACGAGATATACCTACAGTATTTCATTGGTTGATATGTATAATAATTCTAAACATTATTCTCAACTCTCTGCATATATCACATGCAACTTGCAAGTGCCACTTTAGATATCTAATAATAACAAGTAATTAATTCTTTAAACCAAACTCTGAAGTTTCTACTTAATTCATTGGTGGATATATATATACATATATTGTTCCAACATTATTCTTATTTATAGTAAGAAAATGAAAAGAATGTAGCTGTGAATCACATTGCAGAGCTGCAGCCACTATACAAATGACCAATTAAATATCTTTATCCTAAACCCACCGCCTTTACTACTGTCATGGCAGAATATTCAAGACATATGCCAATTCAAACAGAATTTATATATATAGCATTGGATTCACTGATCACTGATCACCAATCACAAATTTAATAAATCACCAATCACGAGCATCGAAAAAAAAAGAGTAAATCTATTTTTAACGCTTGAATTATGATATGAAATAAATCCATAAGTTCAATCCATCCTATTTAGTAAAAATACAGATTTATAACCATATCAAACTAATAAATAATGATTTTCTATATTTCGAATTTTTTTATTGAGAAAGTCCCGACAACACAAAATATAATCGATATTGATGGTTGATCTTCCATAAAGTTATTATGAAGGCGTTTCACAACTATCAAGAGGGCTTGTCCACGGGAGGAGTTCCAGCCTTGGTTATGATCCCTCCAAATTTTCTAGTTAGTTACGTGTCATGATCTGATTCGTCTTTTTTATCATGCGAGATTTCCTCGATACAGTAGGTAATATTAATAAAATATCTTTCCCTTGAGGGGAAGTTTTGTGAAGGGCAGATAAATAAGATTTATGAACAAAACATTGGCAGAAGTCATCAGGACACACAAAATGCAAAACAACAAATATAGTCTTTTAAATTTGAAATTGTGGCCAGAATCCATCTACCGCCTAATTAATGCAACAGAATGTACCAAAACAAAAAAAAAAATACTGCAATAAAATGTGCCAGAACAAAAAAAAATTATTGCAAAACAAGGCTTGATTTTCACTTTCTCTCTATTTTAATTTTTTCCTAAATAACAGATTTAAATCTGCTCTGATTTTTTCTATATTCAATAATATTACAGCAAAAAAGGTCGTGCAAATATCTGAAAAACATTAGAGTTATAGTAAGGATTTACATGGACATGACGTCTAATTATAATTTGAAATATTTAAATCTTTTAATAGTCAAGAAAATTCTAGATTTTGTATGTGAAAATTATCAAAACTTCTCCTACTCTTATATAATCTTACCAAATAAACAAATCATAGATTTATAAATCAATAATAGTAGAAACTAGCTATGTTTCGATAAAATCCTCCTACAGAATACAAATAATTTTTTCATATCGAGCATGAGTCTTTTTTCCTCATTCTTAAGAAACTTATGTTCCATATGAATACACAAATAATGTATATATTTGTATAAAAGTTGAATCCCCTTAGTAAAATCTGAGACTCCGCAAATACTTCTTCTCCTAAATAAGTTGAAGCTAAAACTTGTTTGGCTTCATCTTGTTCCTTCAAGAGTAAGGTTGACCCTTGGTAGTTTCGAAGTGATATTCTTTACTTATACTATACTATAGTCTATATTGTTTGATGATCGTATAGCTCGTTCGTATGCCTTACGTTTTTAATTTCAAAATATGTATGTGTCAGTTTTTTTGGTCTGCTTTTGACTTTTTAATCTCTTTTTTACAGTTGGTTACTCTGCTGAAACTGCTTTATCATCATCAACTTAATTCCCCTTACACCACTTTGTCTTTTTTCTTATTTCTACAATTTTTATGACACACATAATAATCAAATGATTACTGCCAATGTATTATTCAGACTTGGTCCTTTAATAGTGCTCATTTTAGCTTTAAAAATGCTCCTAATTAGCTCAATATTAAGTCCTGTATAATAAAACTCACATAATAAGTAAAACACACATATCCTAGATCAAACACAATTAATTAAAATGTAGCAATTAATAAAAGGTAAAACGTAGTCAAAAACCCATATTTCTAGTCTATATATCATCAAAGCTTTGATCCAAATTTAGTGTTTGTTTTTATTTTCTACCTGATGTTCGAAACTCACATTGGAGCCCGATTCAATTTAACACTTTGTTTGGATCGATGGTTGTTACATACACTACAACAAATTCGATTATCAGGGACAAATAATTTCATCATTTATAAATCATATTTCGTCACTAAAATTCTTGTGAGACAAAAAATAATTTGTCACTCAGTCGTCACTAAATGTGTGTCTCTAAAAGTATACAAAGACGATTTAGTGCTTCGTCGCTAAAAGTATTATATTAACTACAAAAAGAAAAATCGTCCCCAAATGCTTAAACATTTGTGACAAATTCATTTGTCGTAAAAAGTATATTTTTTGTAGATAATAGTATGTTTTGTCACTAAAAAGGTTATACTACCGACAATATTATATCGTCGCTAATGACTATATTTTATATACCAAAAATTATTTTGTTATTAAATGTATTAATTAGGCACAAACATCGATACCCATAGTTATAGTACTTCATCATAATATATTTGAAATCCTAGGTTGTTCGTTTCTTTCATTTGTGCTTTCATTTTTTTAGTTTATTTTGATTTTCACACTGATAGAAAAGTTAATAGAAATTCATGAAATATTTCGTACCTTTGCAAAGTCTAAGTTTGTAAGTCGATGTTATCTCTGTATAGTTGATCTACATGCATTTGTGAAATTACTATTAAATAACTACATATTTTTAGACAGAAGCATATAGATCGACTTAGTCTATGCAGTTTACCAATCACAAATCAATAGACACACACCAAAATTAGCACCAAGACTTGAGAAATTAATTTTTCTATCGTCTTTATCGATGAAAGTGTATCAAATAAAAAACAAAAGTGTTAAACCAACAAATATTAGTGATCTAGTGGCACAATCGTACCCCACTCACGATACTTATAACCTGGATTGTATTTTTGAAATGATGCATAATTGTGTAATTTAAGAAAATTCATGAATTGAACTTTTTCATTTTTACAAAACGGACCAAATTCGTTGGTTTTAATATTTTCCCTCGCCAATTAACAAAAGGACTCTGTATATTTCTTATGAAGCACTTATATTATTCTTTTTGTAAATTGTCACTTGTAATTATGAACAATTGTAGCAAAAAAAATTGTATTTAGCTATGAATTTTTTTCGTAGCAAATAGTTGAATTATTCACTACAAATTTTAAGTCGTCGCTATTTAACACCTTACATATTTCGTGACAATTTTTTTGTTGTCACTGAATCACAGATTGTTTAGAGAGAATAAAATCTTTGTCACCAATTATTTATACTATTAGTGACGAATATAAATATCATAATTAAAGTTAAATTCT